GTATAACACTTTGCGATGACTTTTCGTACGTTTTAAATTTTACACTTTTGTATGTAAACAAAAATTATATCAGCTGTTCGTCTAACTTGCAAGTTTCTGCAAATTTTCTGTTCGCGTACTATTTTGGATATTTCTCTCTTGTGAGCGAACAGATGACATTTCGCCGGAATTTGGCAGTTGGTTGGTTTCTGTTGGAGATTTTAAACGAACGCACCTAATCTTTATGCGTAATACTTGCCTACTAAACATTAATTTTCACCTACCATCTATTGCGCCAGTTATATTTGGAATGATTGAAATTTTCTCAAACGCCTTAGCGATTTGAAGAGATTCCTCAAAGTCGGGAAATTTTATAAAGTCTGAAATTTTGNCAGCAACCGCAATCGCAAATAAATGATCAGTATTAATGGTGTTTAGAATGCTTTGGAGTCTGAAATTTCTTTTTTCACAGGCCGCCAAAAAGCCTAATTGCTTTTCTTTTAGGTTTTTATGCAATATTCGCTTTCGCTTTTGCAGTAATTGTATTGAAAGGACAGTAATAATTTCCGAGTCGAACATTTAAAAATTTTTATTAAAACATATGTTAGTCTGTTCCAGTACCCTTCAGACTTGCCGAATTATACACTTTTGTACGGTAACGACTTCTGAATAAATCCAGTAAATCTGACGGGTACTGGAACAGAGTATGTACATCCAATTGCATAAGTGTGGCCATAATATTGTCTTTTTGTAATCAGGCAACACTGAATAAGAATTTCCCACTGCCGTATAAACAGTGAGTTAGGTATTTGCACATTATTTTTATTTGCAAATAGCTTACGTATAAACATCGAATTCATATTACAACAAACACATCATTTTGACATAATTGTCATGACAATATTGTCCGGTGTAAACACTAAGTAAGGCCATGATTCAATAGGAGCGTTCCTTATCTCCCAGAAATAGTCAGAAAAAGTCCGAAGTAGTCAGATTTAGTCCAAAAAGCGTTCCTTAACTCGGAAATGACAGCTAAAATGACAGAGCAACACCTAGTGAGAGTGACTCTCATCAGTCCGAAGTAGTCAGATTTAGTCAGAAGAATTTTTTCTGGCAAAATCCTGAAAAGTGTCAAACTCAACTAAATTTAAATTAACGGAAATTAAAGAATATGCAAAAAGTGAGAATAATCTAAAAAGTAAAAAAAGTAAACTGAAATTGGAAGGAGGCAAAAAATAATTGATATAGTAAGTGTTTATTGTGCTTGTGCTTGTGCTTGTGTGAATGTGTTTTGTACATACATTTTCATTCTTATTTGACGTTAGCTTTGTTGTTGCCATTCTTTGGACTAAAAATTTGGTTTTTTGCGTTCCTTTACTTTTCCTGTTATTCTCTTTTAGTGAGCGCATTTTGTTTACGCTCTGGCATTTTGACACTTTTCAGATTTTAGTCCAAAAAGATAAGGAATGAACCTAATAATACAAGATTCGATAAACTGACAGTTGTCTATTACTATGTTTATACGTAAGCTAGGTAGGTACGTAAGATGGTAGGTGAAAATTAATGTTTAGTAGGCAAGTATTACGCATAAAGATTACCAGTATCAACCTCAGCTCGACATGGGACCACCACATGTTTAATTAAATTTTTACTTTACATTATAAATCACTTTTGACGTATCTATCGAAATAAACGTTACGCTTTGCTCAATGTAAGAACTTAAAATTAATATCAAATTTTAATCTGAAAACTTTATGCAAAGTTTCAGATCGAGCACTTTACCTTGATAAATAACTTTTCTCTATACGATTAGTAGATCGCTGGGGATAAGCGCCTTGTCTTAAAATAATATATAGAAATTTTTGAATAGGTTCACACATTCCGGTTTTGCCACCATCTAAAGGATATTTGGACTACATTAATCGCAAAGGATGGCCATCGATGGTAATGCAGGCTATTGTGGACGACAAATATATGTAAGTAAATAAATTTCATAAGATTTTACAAATGATTAAATTGTAATGTGGCATTTCTTACTCTAGGTTTAGAAATGTAAGCATTAAGTTTCCTGGAAGTGTTCACGATGCGACAGTATTTAAGGAGCCTGGTATTTACATACATGCATCCCAAGTAATTCCACAATACACTACCATGATTAACGATGTGAGCACACCCCTAATGCTGGTAGGAGATCCAGCATATCCATTGCTTTCGTGGCTATTAAAACCCTATACCGGTTCAGTTACACATAGGGAGGAATCATTCAACCGCAACTTGAGCTCTGCGCGTGTGTGTGTGGAAAACGCTTTTGGTAGGCTCAAGGGAAGGTGGCGCTGTCTCTCTAAGCGCACAGATATTTCCATCGATATGGTTCCTAAACTTGTGGTAGCTTGTTCAGTTCTTCACAAATTTTGTGAGAAACAAAATGAACCCTATTGCAATAGGTGGAATCACTTCGAGGATACTGCTAATATTTACTCTCAGCCTAATGATATTACCTGCACAAGAATTATTTCTGACGAATCTTTCGATCCAAAACATATAAGAGACAACATCAAAAACTACATGGCAAATAATTTTCCGTTGCGTGAAATCAGAACTAGAGCTGATTAGCAAGAATCGATCTAAATATGTACATTAGAGTGGTCCTTAAAAAATCAAATGAACGATTTTTTTCAGTCTAAACCACTCAATCGGTAATACCACGATCACAGATATCACATATAAATTTTGGTTCCGATTGGAGACGGTTAAGGGGTGTCGTATAGGGGACAAAATTAACCGTCTCCAATCGGGACCAAAATTTACAGTAGCATCGACGTAGGGGTTGAGGCTTAAGAAATCTGATGAACAACTTGCTTTCTACATTCAAGGACCACCCTAACGTACATATATATGTACGGTGGCTAAAATATAAATAGGGAAGAGACAATTTAGAAATATTTGCCTATTTTCCTTTCGTTAATATAAAGCTTATTGTTTTTTATGAAACTATAAAGTATAGCATGAAGTAAGGTTCTTCAACACAAAGTATGTTCGACAATTTTTTTTGTGTGGAGAAAATGAGCAACACTTTCAACAAAACTGCATACCTAGAATTTTATTTTAAAAATTTTGAATAAGTTAACATTTTTAAAATTCCTCGAACATTTCTAAATGTTTGATAGTGAGCTATACCTTCATAAAAGAATAATAAACATTAAATCAACGAAAGGAAAAGAGGCAACAATTTTTATAATGTCTTTGTCTTTTCAAAATGTGAAAAACGGAGTTTCGAAAAATTGTTGGTAGATACCTACCTATATATGTATTTGGAAAATTAATTTCTCAAAAACTAGTTTGGAAAGTTGTTATTAAAAAAGATTGGTAAATATTAATTAATAAATGAGCTCATTTCAATGCGTACAGGTATTATTCACTTCAATACATTATAATAAATAAATATTAAAATTAAATTTCAATTCATTCAAAAAAACTAAAATTATTAGGCACAGCTATTCAGTCTTCGGGTTTAGTTATAAGTCTGTGCTATCGCTCAATCCATCTTAGTCCGATTTTCGTTAAATCTACGAAAATGCGATCACTGAATCCGATTTCGTACGAATGTATGTATTCAAAGTATAAGGTTCGTTCGTAGCTATTCGCATTCAGTAAGGGCATTTACGTAGATTTGACTAAAATTCAGACTACGAAGGATTCAGTGATTGCCCTGAGTGTTGTTAAAAAAAGCTTATTTTCCCAAAATTTGTGGGCTTAGTCTAGTCTTTTTACCGCCTGCGGCAAAACCATATAAACGCGACATTTTGACAAGTTACTTTCGTTTGTTTAATGTTAATTAATTTTTATAAAAGTATAGCTAACAAGACCGATTTAAAAAATTCAAAACTTTAAACTTTTCAATTAGAATTTCTAGAAAGTTTGGAAGTGCAAGTGTGAAATTGGTGAAAAATTTCTTTGATTTTTAATAATTTATTTTGCTGATAGTGTCAAGCATTTTAACGAAGAAACTTCTCACTTGTACTTTATTGTACAAAACTTTAATAGGCTACACATCTTTATACCAAATTTTCTAGAAATTCTAATTAAAATTTGAAATTTAATGAAGCTTTGATTTTTCCAAATTTTCGCACAAAGTTTGTGACATGAATTTATATTGGCCTTGTTAGCTACACTTTTATAAAAATGTAAATTAATGAACATTAAACAACGAAAAGAGAATCAAAGTCACACGTTTCTATTCTTTTTTCGCAGTCTGTATGCATTCAATTTACGAGTAAATAATGGTCTTGTTTATCTATTGAGAATGTCCAACAACATCTCTCTCGTCTCTCTGCGATCCTCTGCCATTATTTCTTTTGTTTCTCTGAGATAGTCTGCATGTAGCCGACGCTGCTCTTCCAAAAATACATCATTTTCCTCCCTGATCATTTGCATTGTAGTTTGTTGTGATTGCTTAAAATCAGCAGCGATATCAAGCAATGCCGTTTGGATAGTGTTTCCTTAAAAAACCAATGAAAGTTATTTCGGATGTGTTTGTTGTAATATGAATTCGCCGTGTTTACAACAAACACATCATTTTGACATAATTGTCTTGACAATATTATCTGGAGTAAACCCTAAGTTACAGTATGTTCACTCGGTCATACATACATGCCATCTAGTTGGCGATGTACAAGTGAGTTTAGCGATGAAACCATTGGTGATTATTCTGGCCATTATTTTCACTCCTAAATAATCAAAATTATTAATTAATAAGTGAATAGATGGCATCGAAATATCAAAAAATACATGAAACCAAATTAAAAACGCAGTCCGGTTTTTTTATTTGTTTGTTTTATTTGTAAAAATAAATTGTCGAATATTAACTTAATTTCGCAAGCTTTTATAGAGCTCAGACAATTCTTCTAATTTTTCATCGGTTCTGAATTTTCGTCGCCAAAAACAAATTCCTCAACGCCGTTTGGTCCTTCTGCCTCCATTCCTAGGTTCTGTAGTCACTGACTCCACAGTCGGCCTAAGCGCACTGGCCTAAAATTTTTTCTTCTCTATCGACATAGCGTTAAAAAGGTTTTTTTGCTCATTTTTTTATATACAAATTGAATACACTGATTTTTAATTATTGTTTCTTTGAATTCACCGACTTCTTCTATATTTTGCACCACAGCAAGCAATGAAGTAAAATTTTCTTTAATGTATGTATGTATGCATGTATGTGCATATGTATGCAAGCGTACAATCGATAGTTTTTTTTTCGATATAGTCAGCCGTTTTTTGCAGGGTACTGAGTAAATATCGCGAACACTAAAAAGTATCGACGAGCTAAAAACTTTTCTAAGTAAAACTAAAAAATTTTTTAAGCATTATGGTGCATTTACATGGTATGAAGCCATATGAACTGTTGATACGCTAAAATAGAGGGACTACATGTTCTAATGAGGAATTCAATGATATCGAGGGGGATGCATTTAATACATTTTTTCATATGAAAAGTTATGGGGAGATACTGCAAACATACTGTTGTGATACTGTTAAGCATATGAAATTCTAGCAAATTGAATTTTCATACATCTTCCCATAAAAAGTTTAACAGATGCAGAGATACCAAGGAGGTGTTTTCCCATTTTGATGCATTTTTAATATAAAAATCCACCGAAAAGGAGGAAAGCGGTAACTCCGCCATTCACATACATGTCAAAGGTATGAATTTTAAAAATTAAAAACAATAAACAAACAAATTCTTCTCAAAGAAATTCTTTGTACTAGAACTTTTTGAATAGAAGCAACTCACGTATAGTGGACAATCAAAATACAAAGCACTATGATAACAAACTTAAAAACAAGACATTACAGAACATTTTAATGAGCCTATATTTTCCAAGCTGGCAAAGAAATGAAAATGTGTATTTTTTGTTTTTTACACAAAGACTTGCCAAATATACATATAAGTCAAAATTATAGAAGGCATGTATACTTCTCCCTTTCATTTTTTCATACAGTTTATGCTTCTTTCTGGCTTTTACAAAATGCAGGGATACCGCACTTATTTCGGTACAATATGATCGTAATTCGAAATCAAAGAAAAACATCCCACGAAAATGTTTGCGATTTTAGAACAATTAGTGTATATTTGCAAACTACTGCAAAGAATGGAGTGTCATATCTTAAAAGGTTCAGAGAAATAACGAAACAAACAAACATTTTATGGTCTTATATTTCCTTCACACCGCATTGCTATTTTTTCTAACTTTTCCTTTTGTTTAGCGCTGTAACCGCTTAAGTTATGTCTTTTAACCCTTTCGCTATTTTGATGCCATATGGCGTCATGCTTTTTTGAATACTCACAGATTTAATTGAGCTTATCTGAAATTATAATTTTATATGCAACGCTGTAATGGGAAGTTTTATAAACTATATTTTAATACGGTATTGTTATTTTTATCCTTAGTAGATGAAAAATTTCAATTTTAAAACTTTACTAAAATATCGATTTTCTTCTGCTTACATTAAAGNTATTTTTATATTCTGAGTTGTTTGTGGTAATTTTTTAGATTTTAGATGGGTGATCAAAAGAGAAAGCTTCTGGAAATATTTTACAAACTACCACGCGCGATTATTAAAAACAAAAACGTCCAAACACAATGACATATCAGTCATGGGACAATACTTTTTTCGATTATTATCGATAAAATTAGAGCCGACACTGATTTGTTCGTGATTTGGTTCTTGGTTTAAGATAAACTACGTACTTTCAACTTAATTTACTGAGAGACTTTACAAGGCGAAATTACTTAGTTTGTACTTAATTTATGCGTAAATTAAGATTGACCTCAAAATTACGCTAATGGGAACATAGTTTTAGACATAAGGAGAAGCGATAATTAAGTTTAAAAGAGATAACCGTTTTTAATTAGGACATGTTTTATAATATATATATACATATATAACATATATATTATGTCCTATAAAATATGGGCAACCTTACATACGAGGTTTTGAATTTTTTTGATGTGCGGTTTTGTACTTTAAACGACGATATGTAGAAGTATTGCATACATATTTTGGAGCCTTTTCAAGTATAAAATCCATTGAGAAACGGAAGAAAACGGCATCACTATGATTTCAACTTATGCCAAATGTTTCGTAAACAAGCAATTCTGAACAAAAAACTGTTTTTCCACAAAGATGTTTAAATGGAAGCATTAAAAAATTTGGTAAAATTGCAATCCACTCCACAAGGCTTTATTGGCAGTAGGTCCTTTTTAAAGCACATTTAACAAAAAAATAAGCTATTAGTTTCGAAGTTAGCACAAAATGAAAATGAAAATAAAAAACATATTGCACAAAAACAGCTACCCGCACGCGTTAATAGAAAGATTATTACAAACAACAATAAACCAAATTCGCCAACCGAGACAAAACACCGAAGTACAGCCAAACAACACTAACAAAAAATACATTGGGGTGACATACATACCAGGACTTACAAATAACCAAGTACTCCGAAAAACAATAAAAAATGAGAATGTGATATATGCACACAAGCCCCATAACACAATCAACAAATTGTTGACGAAAACCAAAGACAAGATCGAAAAGGAGCAACAACACAATGTAGTGTACCAAATAAAGTGCAAGGGCAATGATAACGAAAGCTGCAATAAATGCTACGTAGGCACAACAAAAAGAGCGTTAGGTATAAGAATCAATGAACACAGAGCGGACGCGAGAAACAAAAAGATGACAACAGCACTGGCTCAACACTTAACAACGCACGAACATATAGCGGACTTCGGCAACACAGAAATTTGGACATCGAAAGAGGAGAAAGAAGGAGAATGACACTGGAGAGCCTACGAATACAACAACAATTGGACAACGCAATCAACTTTAAGGAAGACGTCGACAACATGAAGAACACATATGCAGCCGTACTAAAACTAAAATATAAATAAGAATACTTCAATAATTCTTCCTAAATGTTGTATTACCTTCAATGTGTGCAAATTAATGTAAAATTCTTGTCAATATTTAATGTGAGTTTCAAGTGATATTATGTGTGTAGATAATTAGTGTCAAGTATACATGTACATATGTAACTATGGTTTTGTATATATGTATGTATGCAACTATTATTATGTTTTTGTTAATCATGGCTTTCGTTCGTTCTTCATGTTTATTTTTTATCGTTTAAATAAAACAGACTCCCTGAAGATGACACGAGAGTGTCGAAACGCGTAGGAGGGACAAGGGAAAAATATAAGCATTTCGCCTTTTACTCCATCGGCCGAAGCAGCTCCAACCCAGCAAACAAAATTCATTGGAATTTGGCCCATACAAAGACAATTATTACCATCGGTGAGCAAACCCGAGAAAACAACTAAAAAGGTAAACAAAAAAAGTAAACATGAAGCAATTTTACCAACATATAAGACTTAAATACAACGACGAGACATGCTACATAATAAAGCAATACAACAAAAACATGAAAAAATTGACAAAACAAAAGGAGAGGTTAAAGTTCCTACTAAGATGTAAGGACTACGGTATCATTCCGCCCCACTTACAGGGTAAATGTAGAAAATTCTCACATTGTTTCAAACTAGACACAACCCGACGTGAACTTATTAAACTAGAACAATGCTTTCTGCTCAAAATCCTCAATTTAGGAATTAAGGAAACAAATATTAATATAAAAATAGTCACAACCAACATTAAACATGGGGAAAATTTACTGAAAATCAGACTTATGANATTAAGGAAACAAATATTAATATAAAAATAGTCACAACCAACATTAAACATGGGGAAAATTTACTGAAAAGCAGACTTATGGAAGTAGAATACAAGAAAATAATAGAAAATCAGAAACAATTTTCTAATAAAGTTTCAATAGACACGCAGAAACTACATGAGAAAAAACTAGATGAGCAAATATCAAAAAATATAACAAAATTTGGCATAAGATTTAATGAGGATTGGTTTATAAATAAAACAGATATTCCCATGCCTAAGTATTCCCGTTGGCTACTGTCACTTGGAGGCAAATTCGTATTGCCGGTGTCTAAGAAAACATGTTCCCCGATACCCATAATTGCCGACTTAGAGCAAGGCATACAAGATATTACTGACGAAAGGGAAAAAGATGCAACAAGAAGCAATATCTCTGCAAGAATCAATACATTCTATGACAGATTAAGTAACAATACGAAAGAAAAATTTATATTGAAAACGTATGCAGACACCAGAAAATTTATAGGTCAACACAAGGAAGAAATAATAATAACACAAGCAGATAAAGGAAATAAAACGGTAATGATCTACAAAAAGGATTACGAAGATAGAATGAGGGAATTACTGAATGACAAAACAACATACAAAACCATAAGAAGTGATCCTACCCAACAATTATTGAGGAAAAACAACAATATAGTAAACGACTTATTCAAGCAGAAAAAAATTGACGTAAAACAAAAATTCCACTTGACATGCACAGCAGCTAATGCTCCTAGATTATACGGACTACCCAAAATTCATAAAACCGGTACACCTGTCCGACCAATATCCTCGTCTACAAATGTTCCCTGCTACAAATTATAGAAGTTTATTGGCAACATTTTAAAAAACATAATCTCTGACGAATATAATATAAGGAATTCCTATCAACTGAAGGAAAATCTAAAAAATATTACTATTGAAGAAGATGAAATTTTAATATCATTCGATGTCATATCACTATTTACGAATATCCCGATACATTTAGCCATACAGACAATTATGAAGAATTGGAAAAAATTAGAGAATTTTACAAACATTACACGAAAAGAATTTCATACCATACTCGAGTTTTGCTAACGGGATAACAATTACTTCAAATACAATACCACCCTTTATCAACAAATTTATGGCATGCCAATGGGTAACCCCTACCATAGCGGACATCGTACTTGACAAAATATTGGACGACAGCATAGCTGAACTTAAACAACACGACATACATACAAAATACATAAATAAATATGTAGACGATATGTTTGCAATAATTAAAGCAAAAGACGCGGAAGACATACTAAAAATATTAAATGCACAACATACAAAAATACAATTTACAGTCGAAAGGGAAAAAAACAAGAAAATTTCCTTCCTAGATGTAGAAGTGCATAAAAAGAGAAACCGAATTCTGCTGAACTGGTATGCAAAATCCATTGCATCGGGGAGATTGATAAATTTTCATTCCAATCACCCATGGAAACAAAAAATAAACACCGCTGCCAGTCTTATTAGAAAAGTCCATCTGCTCAGCGACGAAGAATTTACAGAGCAAAACAAACAGGAAAATAAAAAACATATTGCACAAAAACAGATACCCGCACGCGTTAATAGAAAGATTATTACAAACAACAATAAACCAAATTCGCCAACCGAGCCAAAACACCGAAGTACAGCCAA